TGCTAATTAGAAGAGATACAAAGTGTATAGTAAACTAAGTCATAGAACGACACAAGCAATAACGATTAACAATGCATTTCAAGTTTTGAAGATCTCATTTTACTGGAAGGCAAAGTGAGAAGTGTGATAGAAGAAGCTGTTAGAATAGAACTTACGGTTACATCTCGCTATTTCAACAGTAAAATGATGAGACCTAACTGCCAATCTAGTATTGCTTCTAAATTCATTAAGTCTAGGTAGCACAAAGGAATGTGCATCAGAATAATTATCATAAGAATATATAAGTGGGCGTGAGAAATATTTGAAATGGACCTGGAGAAACCAGGGACAATGTAAGCATTAGTTAGGATTTATATCGTCTACTACATTTTGCATTTGAAAATAAAATGTATTCCTTTTTACATGGAATTTCTATTTGTGCTTATGTGGCCCTGGAATATGTTTGACATCGAAAATGGACCATAAAGAAGAAAAGATTGCGAAACGCTGCCTTAGAGCTAGGATATACCTCATTTCCCCACTTGGTTCGGGGTGGCAAGTACTTCTTACTCCAGTGAACACATCATGGTATATAAATGCCACTACTTACATTATTCGAACTATTGTCCTTATCTTGGTTGCCATATTCATTACAACGTTTCGGCCGTTGGAAGAAGGCCGAGGTGTACAAAGACCGAAACGTTGTGATAAATATGGTAACAACGATGAGGACAATAGTTTGAATAATGTAATTAGTGTAAATAATGCCCCATCTCAGAAATATAGACAGATATATAAATGATCTAAGATTATTTGACTACACTCAGGTATATTGAATCATTCATACAAACCAGCAGAGAAGTCTTCTCACATGTAAGTCTGCCACATTCTCTCATGGGAAGTTTGGTTAACACATAGACATAAATCGGGTTACTTAACAGCCGTAAACATATCAGGTTACTTAACAGCCGTAAATATATCGGGTTACCTAACAGCTGTAAACATATCGTATTACTTAACAGCCGTAAACATACATATCGGGTTACTTAACAAACATAAATATATCGAGTTACTTAACAGCCGTAAACATATCGGGTTACTTAGCAACCGTGAACATATCGGGTTACTTAGCAGCCGTAAACATATCGGGTTACTTAGCAGCCGTAAACATATCGGGTTACTTAGTCGCCTGGTCTTGGAGTGCTGAAAATTTACATTCTCTGATTCAGTGAAAGAAACAAACAAGCTATTTACTGATAGGAACAACTTCCCTAAGCATTGAAAGCAGAATGAGAGTAATCTATCGACCGTGGAGTGAATAAAGGTTTTGGTTCAAAATTTCAATAGGTTACTCTAATATGTAAATGAGGCATTATATACAATAATGTACGGGAGAGTTATCTTCTCTTGACGAGATTACATCTGTCAGAGAGAATGCCTATCATAACAATATGGCGCTGCCAATCGTTTACTTTACCACGATGGAGAATCCTGAATATATTGAGACCTGGCTTAGGTGTTTCCCAGTGTCGGCGAGAGTCAAAAAACTTGAAGGACAGCAAAGCTAGTGGAGGAGAAAATGAAGCTACGAATTTGTTTTTCGCCTCAACGGGGTTTGAGGCAATAAAAAAATCTACTTCATGGTCTATCCTAAAGTTTTGGAAGATTTAGCCTATGAAGAAATTGCTGCCAACATAAAATCAAATGTCCGACAAAAAAAGTTTGGTTATAGCGGAAAGAACTAAATTTCTAGAAATTAGACAGAGACCAGACGAAACTCTTATGCAATATGTACAGCGATTGAAAGAAGAGTTGAGATATTGTGATTTTGAAAGAATGGATTCGGAAGAAATATAGACGAGCTAATTTTGCTGGGACTGATTGAAGGAATGTTTGAGATCTCATACAAGCGTAAAAATCTAGAGCAGCTTCAAGCTTATAATATGAATCTGGAAGGATGTGTGGAGTTCTTGCAACAATTGGAATTTTAATGCCTCCGAATGCAGTATGACGACTTATAGTGCTACTAAAATCTTACTTGTATGCAGATATTGCAATAAGGAACATGAAAAGAGCAAAAATGTGTCCAGTCTTTGGGAAAGTGTAAAAAGAGGAATCATTTCCAGAAGGTATGCACTTATGAAAAGCGAGTTGAAAAAGTTGAAAATGGAGATCTGATTGAAAATACAAAAGTATTTCAGGTAAAAACACAGAATAAAAGTAGGAAAATGGTGAAGTTAAAAGGGAGTAACTTTACTCATGCAGGTGGATATTGGATGAGACATTGATACCGATGAATTTTTGAGAAAGAATGGGCACACCAAGATTAAAGAAAAGTAATTTCCAGTTGAAACAGTTCAAGGGGTTAATCATCGAAATTTTTTATGAAGGCAAGTTTGAGACAAAAAACAAATTCGAGATAATACCCATCATATTGGTGGAAAATATTAAAAGCCATGGTCTTTTAGGAATTGGCGTGTTAAGAGTGGATACATTGAAGCTGATGAATTCCATGAAGTCAGTAGAACCGAAAGTTGGATTATTAAGGGAATACGAGGCAAGTATTCGGCTTAAAGAAAGCAGTCAACCTATGTATTTTCAAGCCCGAAAAGTTCACATTGCTACACTTGGGGGTTGTTAAGCTGAACAAGGAATATTAGAAAAAGTCAGCCAGAGTGCTAGTGTGGCGCCATTCGCTTACCCCGCCTGTTATGGCATCTAAAGTTGATTGTATTTGCATCTACACCGAAACTCACTATGTGCACAGGTTTGTCTTCTCAGCCGTGATCGCTTTCAACAAATAAAATGAAGACAATTGTTTTTCAAGACTCTGGTTGCAAAGTAGCAACACGACAATTTCTCACTTAAACGTAAGATCCTTCCTTCAGCTTCGAGAGCTGGGGGCTGCTATCTTTTTTAATTTCACTGGCCTCTGGTTTCGGCAACTCCTGATTCCTCATTATCGGTTCTTCTGTCACTAGCCTCTGGGCAACTCCAGTTCCTCTGGTCACCTACCGATATCTCTCACGGCTGAGCCCACTTTCCCCCGACTTCCCGTCTCTCTCTCTGTTTATATGGATAATCCTGGGATCCCACCCCTACCATCCACTTATCTTCCGGAAGACTTGGGATCAAAGCCACAGAGATGGTGAAATCTTCAAAGAACTACTTTTATGATTATCTAATATCATTTAGAAAATTTTTAGGTTTCCCAATTCAAAGGGATACATGAATTTCCCAAAACACTGACATTTGGGCTTCACCTATTGTGGCGATACGCAATTCGAATGGAGATTTAAGAATTCGTGGCGATTATAAGTTGGGCGTGAATCACAATATCTGTTTTGATTCATTCCCGTTGCCAAACGCTGAAACAGCGTGTCATGGGTTTGCTGATATCAAATACTTTGCTAAAGTTGACCTTAAGTCAGCATATAATCAAACATTATAATATAATATATATTATAATCAAACAGGTAAACATTGATAGTAAGTTTCAAGAAGTCACTATAGTGAACACCCCTATTGAATTAATAAGATGGACTTGTCTGCCGTTTGGAGTAAAACGTCAAGTCACATTTTCCAAGAAACCATTGAAATAGTTTTAGAGGGGTTTAAAAATAAAAATTCAACATCAGGTAGTTATATCAGAATTACCAACTGTGTGATATCTTTCTATTACACAACCCAAGTAGTAAAATATCCACCTCTGTGCTACTAAGACTTTTTTTTTTAAATGGCTGATCATGACTCTCCACAGCTTTCTTTTCTTTACTATCAGTGAATAACTCTGACTTCTGGGGAAATATAGTAGTGTAATATTCTGTTACTTACTCTATAGGTTTTAATTCGGAGCTGTTCTTCTCCTAAACTGTCTGCCAACTAGGGCTAGAGAGACCAATATACTTTGCTATTTAACCCATAGCTTGGACGAAGACGGATTCTTACTAGTCTCAAGTCCATTTATGCAAAAGTGAATGAAGCAGACTAGGTTGGAATTTGAACTTGTCTTCTTGAGGTCACTTTCCGCCTTGATAGCCTGTTTGCTAGCCACGTATCATCTGTTAGCATCACCATCGTCATATAATCAATACTCTTCCTTTTCAATTTTTTGATTTCAAAATAAATTAACAAAGGAAGATTAATGTTTTCATCTCTTTCACTTTAATAGAAATGTTATTATCTTCATTTGTCTGATAATTGCAGGGAAATCCAAATTCTTGCTTTTCTTGTAATAGCAAGGTGAAATGATGTCAGATGGTCGAAACCAGAATAAGAAACCATTCTTAGACTTTTCTTTCCTCCTTTACCTCATGAAATTATAAGTGAATGAAATTGGTTTGTGCGCCCGTAATGGTGCACATCAACTGTGCAAATGTTGTTCTGATCAACAGTTTACTGTTCATCAGTATGGAAGCCTTGAAGGGATTCTTTTCATAAGAACCTGTTTTCAGTTTATATTGATCAATAGTTCTTTCTGTATTGAGAAAAAGCATAAAAAACTGAAAAAATATAAGATTTTGTTGTTTGAGATTCAGGGAAAACTAGATTGAGGAATCAATATTTGGTAAAAAGGGTTAGAATGTGGAAGCAGGGGTTTTTATTTGAGATTAAAGGAAAGAAAAATGAAGAGAGAGGAAAACAATGGCATATAGGAAGAAGGAAAGAAAATGAGAAAGAAGAAAAAAGAGAGAAATTTGGTTGGAAGAGAAAATAAGGAAAAAGAGAGACAGAGAGAGAGAGGGGGGAAAGAGAGAGAGAGAGATTTCAGAAAACAATAAAGTAGAAATAAAATGAAAATGAATGAAGACAGAGGAAGAAAATAAAGAGAGTGGGTGAAATAAACTTAAAGGATGAAGAAGGAGAGAGAATGTGTTCGTAAAAAATCGGGAGAAAAGGTGGAGAATGTTAGAAAAGCGAGAATTGTTGGGAAATTAAAGAAATAAGAAATGATTTAGATATGAATAAACAGACAAATATTTACAGTGACAGAGAAATAATAAACCCAAACAAATATAAACGGGCTAAGATGAGAATAATCAGGATAGATAGATAGACAGATAGATAGACAGATAGATAGATATGAACAGAATAAGATAGATATGAACGGGCTGAACTAAATAGATAGATAGATAGATAGATAGATATGAACAGAATAAGATAGATATGAACAGACTGAACTAGATAGATAGATAGATAGATAGATATGAACAGAATAAGATAGATATGAACAGACTGAACTAGATAGATAGATAGATAGATAGATAGATAGATAGATATGAACAGAATAAAATAGATATGAACAGACTGAACTAGATAGATAGATAGATAGATAGATATGAACAGAATAAGATAGATATGAACAGACTGAACTAGATAGATAGATACATAGACAGATAGATAGATATGAACAGAATGAGATAGATATGAACGGGCTGAACTAAATAGATAGATAGATAGACAGACAGACAGATAGATAGATTGTAGTCTCATAGATATGAATATCGATAGATAGATAGATAGATAGATAGATAGATTGTAGTCTCAGAGATATGAATAGCGATAAATAGACAGATAGATAGATAGAGAGATAGAAGCAGACATAGATAGATAGATAGATATATAGATAGATAGATAGATAGATAGATAGATAGATAGATAGATTGTAGTCTCAGAGATATGAATAGCAACAAATAAATAGTCATATAGACAGATAGATATGAACTGACTTAGATAGATAGATAGATAGATAGATAGAAGCAGACATAGATAAATAAATCTGAACTGACGGATAGAAAGCTAGATCATAGAATGATGTTTGCTAGAGAAAACATTTGCCTGTTCTTATGTAATTAGTTAAGAGAATTGATCAAGAAAAGAATGTTTTTTTTTTTTAAATAAGGACAAAATTTGCCGCATATTTCTGGAGAAAGAAGATCAGGTGAAATTTGTTGACATTTTATAATTTTTTTTTTTAGACAAAAATTTCATCAGAAATATGACTAAATTTCGGTGAAAGGAAGAAGCATTCTTCCCAATTGTTAATTGCTTCTCGCCTTTAAAAATCAAGGGATATTTTTTAGAAAAAAGGTTTCATAGGTGACTGCCGTCATAGGAAAAAGATCAGAAGCAAACAATATTTTTGCAATTCACTTATTGCTTCTACACATTTATTACTATTCTGAACATAAAATGTTTATATTGTATTTATTTTGTATTTGCTTTGTTAAGCCTGAAGATATTGGGAACGACTTGAGGTAAGTGCAAAACTGGAATCGAGGGTAAGGAATAGAAAGATGAAGAAATCAATTATAAGTGTACATATCCACAGGCTTATAGACAAATAGCAACATGGATAGAGATAGATAGATAGATAGTAGAGAGATAATGAACATATGTCAAGAGATAGATATGACTATCTATCTATCTATCTATCTATCTATCTATCTATCTATCTATCTATATATATATATATATATATATATATATATATATATATAGAGAGAGAGAGAGAGAGAGAGAGAGAGAGAGAGAGTAGATAGATAAAACGTACGTCAATAGATAGATAGATATGGCCATATATATATATATATATATATATATATATATATATATATATATATATATATATATATATATATATATATATATATATAGTACAGGTAATAGATAGTTGGTATATAATCCAGGTCGATCTTAATAATATCAAATATTAAAACTGGTCCACAGAGAGCGCAATGTATTTATTATAACACAGCATATATTTTCTACAGCAAAAAATACGAAATCTCATGTGGATATAGACTATTTCAAACTAGCACTGCTGTGTGCCAGCTGTACTCTGCCCAAGACTGTCTATATATATATATAAGCTCTTTAGCAAGTAAATTGTTATTAAGGGGTTACATTTTCTTCAAAGCTCTTGTTGAGTGTGTGTGTGGGGGCAATTGGAAGATTTGTAATTTGTAGTTGAGTAAGTTCATAGGTCGACGACAGAAATTTCAAGGTCCTAGGAAGCAGAATTCGAGTAGTTTTAAAAGAGGGACGACGTTCTGTCTTTCGACCCCAGCATGTAGCTTTGTTAAAAACATGTTCCAAAGATGACTGCTGTTACTGTCGCCGACCTGATGTTAGCACAGACGGTGTCAAGTACTCACTGCCAAAGAAAGTTCCAGAAATATCGGGAACTTTTTTCTCTTTACACAGAACTAATTTATTAAGTGACCTGAATTTATTCCTAAAGAAATGACTGCCTTTTTTCTTTTTGCTTTTCATATTTGGAACTATGCAGGCAGCTTAATTATAAAGGAATTTTGTTCATTGTTCAAACCAGAGGGAATAAAATAAGAAAATCCAGTTTTATGGTATTTCTTCTCCATTCACAAAGAATTCTATGTCCGAAGATCTTGAAGATGACTGAACGCTGCACAAACTTATGAATTACTACATTTTTACTCAGACCTTGTTCATCACATCTGGTATACGTCTAATATCTTAAGTAACTTGAGGTTGCTATCAAATGATCAGCTTATAATAATTGCTACAGTGACATATCAAACTACTAGAGATTTGTCTTATTTGGGAAAGACATTAAAATATTCTAGACCTTATACTCGGAACAAAAGGCCTGCATATGAATAGAATATGATTTTTTTAAAAAAATCATTTCATCCTATGTAAAGCAATAAAGCAGATAAGTCGCATACACTTCTCCGGCCCTCCCATTCGTCAGAAAATATATTCTTATCTCTGATAAGGATCAATGCTTTAAGAGTGGGATTTGAAAGCTGGGGTGAAAGTCGGAGCATAGATAAGAATGGACGGCTTGAAGGTGAACTTGTAAAACATTGTAGTAGTGATTCTGAAATTAAATTCTAATAAATTTTCCCACCGGGTATTTGAGCATATGTGAATATAATGAACCCGATCGGAATTAAAACACAGCCTTCAACTCAGATTGCCTTTTCTCATTGATGATCTATAACCAAAGCATCATATCCACTGATGTTTTGTATTTGTATGTAATTAGGTATGTTTTTTGGCACCGGTAATTTAGTTATTTGTATGTTTAACAAATATTAAACCAACTGTACTGTACCATGCATTGTTTGACTTAAATGTAACGATTGAAAAAATAAAAAAAAAACAAAACAATGTGTAGACAGATGATACAAATGGTGTCAAATATAAAGAAACGATAAAAATTATAAAAAAAAAAATGTTGCAAGAAAGATAAAAAGATTGAAAAATTACTTACAGGCCGATTTATGACCAGACATTATATATATATATATATATATATATATATATATATATATATATATATATATATATATATATATGCAGTCATTGTCAATTTACGACCATCGTTTGTTACGACTTGTTCTTCATAAAATGCCTGGTCATAAATCGTCTTGTAAGTAATTTTGCAATCTTTCCTGCAACATTCTTTATTTTTATAATTTTACCATTTTTTATATATATATATATATATATATATATATATATATATATATATATATATATATATTAAGTTTTAAATAAAAATAACACTTTTAAAACAATGTACTTCTAACTGACATCCCTGGCATGTTGCAGAACACATGCACACTCACACACATTGTTCACACACATTGCTCACACACATTGCTCACACACACACATATATATATATATATATATATATATATATATATATATATATATTGTTTCGCTAAATCAAAGTTATTCAGTGTGGCTAAACGTCAGAGTGCTTCAAACCGGAGTCAAATTCTGGCCTATTTGGCATTAGTCAGGGGTCCTACCTCTAGGCTATCATCGCACGGCAGAGAGAAGGGGAAATTTTAACGTTTTCTATACGAAATACGCAAGTGTATATATATATATATATATATATATATATATATATATATATATATATATATATATATATATCAGAAACACTGACCTTGCAATCACGGTTTCTGCCAAATTAGAGTACAATAGTGTTATAAAAACCTTAAATCATTTCTAAGATACAATGGTTCAAACCTTAATCTAACCATTGGACAATTTTGCTCTTACACCCGGTGTATATATATATATATATATATATATATATATATATATATATATGTGTGTGTGTGTGTGTGTGTGTGTGTGTGTGTGCGCGTGCGTGTGTGTGTGTGTTTTTTGAGAGTTTATGTAATATTTGATTTTAAAGTAGTGATCATTGATATAATTTGACACTGCAGTTGAATCGTGGCTTTCTCATTATGACCCTGAAAGCAAATGTCTGTCTGTAGAATATTGTCAAACACTTTTTTTGGCGGGGTAAGGAGATTCTTCAGAGAAACCATGCTCACAATATTTGGGCGATTCAACAAGAGTTATTTGCATGGAATTTCTGCCAAACGAAACCACCATTATTATTGTGAAACCTTTTAAACACTCAAACAATGCATGTGCAGAAGAAGGGCCCGAAAGGAAAACAATTTGCATCAAAACAATCCAAGGCCACATTGCATCCAACAAATGGTACAAGTGCCTGGTGTTGCAGAAGTCTGATATTTGCAATTGTTTCACGCCATCCATAGAATCCTGAGTTGGCACCTTCAGATTTCTGGTCATTCTCAAAATTGAAAGAGGCACTAAAAGATTAATATTTTCTTCGTCTGATGCTGAAGATGGTGGCTGCTGCATAGAGTTGGATGAAAAGTAAAGCAAAAAATTTCCTTGTGAATGTGAATGAAAATTGGATATTGCATTTGGAAAAGAAATATAGCAATAAACGAGGAACAAATAGAGAAATAAATTCCTTCTTACTCTGTCATCGAGATTAGAGACCTTACTTTTTTCAACCAACTCTAATACACACATACATGTATAGACACCCACACACACACACACACCCATATGAATATATAATAACGGACTCTCCCGTTAGCTTTGATGTATGAGTGTCCAGCAGCCGAGGTCTTAGAAACACAAACAGGGATTTACACTTTTCCCAAGGTTATTTGTAAATGAAATGAACTTGACTGGAATTTGAATTTGGCCCACTAATTTGTTTTAATGTTTTAAAAAAGCAACCCACACTCAACAAAATTACGTTTCAAATGTCTTGCAACAAATTACAATGCATTTAAACACATGGCTTTATTGATAATATTTCTTTCTCTCACGTTGTCATGTAAGATGTCATAGAACCGCATTATGAATTTACGACCTGTGTTTGCTATTCCACAACCATTATCATCCCATAGCAAACTTCTATGTAAACAAAACAGGATTTCATCTGTGATGATGAAGATCTCTGTAGTACTGTCCATATAACCACTCTGATGAGATGATGGCTCATGTGAGATGAAGGCTTAGATCGACGACCAATATAATAAAGAAAATATCAAAATTTATTAAATATTCAGTTTTTGTCTTTATTTTTCTTGAAACTAAAGCAATTATATGACACTTAAAATTGCTCTTGATAAAATATAATAGACATTCGTTGTCTGTTATATTTAACAATATAACTTTAAATAATGATCTGCTGCCCCTATACAATATATATATATATATATATATATATATATACAATATACATATATATATATATATATATATATATATATATATATATATATATATATTATACACTGTTACATTACAACATATAAATATTCACTACAAAATTGTACATTTTGTTTCAATGTTAAAATCAAACATTTCTTCAGGTGGCTAACAATGATGGTACTAAATGATTTTATTCAAAATTGCGATTAAAGAAAC